TCATCTTCCACCAAAAGTATTCATTGCTGGTCCATGTTTAGTCTTGTGTGAAATTAATTTCAGCTTTCAATTCCTTGGACAACTTGACATGAACTTTTGTCAAGATTGTACCAAACATGAACCATGTGGTCCATTTATTTTTAATTGGTTGTGGGTGGTGGGGTAAATTTTGTGGTGAAAATTAATGATGGAAATTACTGCAGGATTACGGACTGAAAGTGATGCTAGACCGCAATGTGTTTCTAGTAGATGTTGTAAGAGAAAAGATTGGTAGGGTTTTGAAGCTTGATTCAATTGTGGGCGGCAAGTTATGGAAGGAGATTGACATGCTCATCTTCAACACTTGGCATTGGTGGAATCGCAGAGGACCCTCTCAGCCGTATGCCTAATAACTAAAATCTACAATTTTCTTATGGTTATTTAATTCTATAAATTAATTTTGCTACAAATAAAATTATGGTAACACTCAAAACTAATGTAATTTTTCAGATGGGATTATGTTGAAGTAGGAGGCCGGGTCAGCAAAGACATTGACAGGATGGTTGCTTTTGAGAAGGCACTCATGACTTGGGGTGGATGGGTGGATTCAAACATTGATCCTGCAAAAACTAAAGTTTTCTTCCAAGGAATTTCTCCCTCTCATTACAAGTAAGTTCCTTATTTTAATAAACTTAAACTAAAATATTGAACATTGAATGTTAAATCTAATTCAAGTACTCGTGAATTGTTGTCAATCTTAAATACGTACATTAGCGACTAACAACTGTCCACGCGCACGTGAATGAAGTCATGAGATCAAGAAAATAGTCTCTTACCTTCTTTTTGTGTTTGTGATTTTAGTGGGAGCCAATGGGATGAGCCAAAGGCAAGAAGTTGTGTAGGGCAGAAGGAGCCTTTGCTTGGATCGACATATCCAGGAGGTTTGCCACCAGCTCTGAGTGTGCTGAAGAACGCCCTAAGCAAAATCACAAAGCCTGTGACATTGCTAGATGTAACAAACCTGTCGCTCCTGCGCAAAGATGGGCACCCTTCAATCTATGGGTTGGGAGGCACCACAGCAATGGATTGTAGTCATTGGTGCCTTTGTGGAGTCCCAGATACTTGGAACGAGATTCTTTACAATTTTATTCTTTGAAACATTTTTCATTTAATTCATACCTCCAAATTATAGAATTTGGCGACTTCTTAGAAAAAATAATAATTGATTTAATTATAATGATATTCAGAGTTTTCTATACTACTATTACACCAACTTATAGAATTTGGCGACTTCTTAGAAAAAATAATAATTGATTTAATTATAATGATATTCAGAGTTTTCTATACTACAATTTTTGTTTTTTTTCAAAATTGGAACTGCGATATGCAAAATCCCACTCCAGAAAAAATGTTTGTGACTGGACTGGTTTTATCACATTGGGTTGAAATTACGTTTGGTGGCTCGGCTTGGATTGAAAATTTTCAATTAATTTGGATGAACACTTTAGATGTTGTTTGGTGAACTTATAAATGCTCGGAATAAAATACCCTAATTCTGATACAAGCTCAACCACCAAAGATGTAGAAGACCCAAATTCTACCGAAAGAGTTTAGCAATTAAAATTGTGGATCCCCTAATCTACTAGTAATTTTAAAAAAAAATTATTTTATTAATTACATGGATAAGGCCCAAAACTAATAACAAATTGATCTGGGCCTGGCAACACTAGCCCAATACATTTAGTGGGGTCCACAAGAGTACACGAGCCCAAATCTTCCTCGTAGCAATAAAATAAGCCTCCTGCATGAATAGGCTACACCTCGGACAGACAATTACGGCATGTTAGTAAACATATGTGTATATAAATTCGTTTGTGTTTATTAACACATATATAATTAGGGGAAGTAGTTGATATTATACTCACTCGTATTTTTTCTTTTCCCGATTCATAACTTCTTCGATTTCAAGTAAACATATAATTGGTGGTGACCAAAACTAAATATAATTGGTGGTACCACACTATAGTAAGCTTGTACACACATATATGAGTTTAGAAACATACATTATGCGACACAATTACGGCATGTGTATATAATTTCGTTTGTGTTTATTAACACATATATAATTAGGGAGGCTTTTCTTCGAAGGATGATAATACATAAAGTAAGCTTTACTTTACGCCATGACTAACTAGAAAGCGTCCACACAACAGCTACACCAGCTCTTATTATGCCGAACAAGGAAGAATTAATGTTGTCTTTGTCCCCAAGTGAACCCAAACCCACTAGCTGATCACTGGTCACTTACATTACATATAGCTAGTTACTTGGTCTTTCAATCTCCTCAACCAGCTCTTATTATGGGAAAATTGTTGCATGGCTTTGGCTTAGTTGCTAATGCTCTTGTACTAATTTTATGCCTTGATGAAGACCAATTACATTGCAACGCAAAAGTAGATATCAGCAGCAGCTGTGACTTGTTTCAAGGGACTTGGGTTTATGATGATTCTACCTATCCACTCTATGACACCTCCAGCTGCCCTTTTATTGAGAGCGAGTTTGACTGCCAGAAAAATGGACGGCCGGACAACCAATATCTCAAATATAGATGGCAGCCTGACGGTTGTGCATTGCCAAGGTATAACATTAATCATATGTTTTCAAACTTGTATAAATTATAATGCAAAGCTTCCATTTTTCGACGTGGAATGAGTCTCTCTTAACAATATACAGACGCACACCGACGCATAACTACATTTTATATACGTACTTCGAAACAAACATGATTGGCAGTGACACCCATTATTGTATTAGTACGTACTTGTAAAGGACTTAGCACTTATTTCATATTTTGCAATATATGGTGTGCAGATTCAGTGGTGAGGACCTCTTGAGAAGGTTAAAGGGGAAGAAGCTACTATTCGTAGGGGATTCTCTAAGCCTCAACCAGTGGCAGTCACTAACATGCATGTTACATGCTGCGGTTCCTCAAAACAATTATACCATAACAAGGAAAGGAGGCCTCTCTACGTTTTTTATGCCTGTGAGTTGACACCAATTAAGTTATATACTTTTTTAACAAGATATATCTAATATGGGCATGTTATATATTTCAATTACTAATTATATATTAAGCACTAATTGGGCAATTATATATTGATCAATAGATAAATCACGCCTTGGGTTTTGCAGGATTATGATGTTTCTGTTTTGTTATCGCGCAATGCGTTTCTGGTGGATCTAGTGAGAACAGAGGCAGGCATGGTTCTAAGGCTTGACTCCATTACAAATGGCAATGATTGGAAGGGATACGACATGCTCATCTTCAATACCTGGCATTGGTGGCTTCATAAAGGAAGCCGACAACCGTGAGAACCCCAAATTACAATCATTCTGCACTGCAATTCGCAAGTTTATAATCACAAACCCCAAAGAGCATTAAAAATATGTTACTTCCATCATTCGACTAATATATTGTAGATTGTCTTATGATGATTTCAGATGGGACTACATTGAATCAGGAGGACAGATACTGAAGGATATGGACCGCTTGGCTGCTTTTAAGGAGGGATTAACTACTTGGTCCAAGTGGGTGGATTCTAATGTTGATGCTAACAACACCAAAGTTTTCTTTCAAGGCATTTCTCCTACCCATTACAAGTATGTCATGATTGCCTCTTTTATCAAAGAAAGCCAGCGATTCGAATTTGGGACCTCTAGTCCATTTTTGGTACATCAGTAGACCAAGAGCTAATCGGCCTTCTAACTATATATTTATATAATCATCTCTGAAAACTGATTACATATGTTATTATTATTTGTCTATTTTATTAAATATGCATATTATTGGTGGAGCAGTGGAAAAGAATGGGACGATCCAAATTCAGCTACATGCAGTGGACAAACGCAACCTGTGACTGGTAGAACATACCCAGCAGGTTCACCACCAGCAGCAACTGTGGTCAACGATGTGTTGACTGCCATGTCATCCCCAGTAACCTTGCTGGACATAACTCTATTGTCGCAGTTGAGAAAAGATGGGCACCCTTCTATGTACGGCAATGGTGGAAGAACGGGAAACGATTGCAGCCACTGGTGCCTTGCTGGTGTTCCTGATACCTGGAATCAACTTTTTTATGCAACTCTTGTGACCAGTGACTAAAAACGAATTTTGATTTCAATTTTAGATTTTGTGGTGTATAGACCTTTAATTCTATTCACACCCAATGGTTTTCTCATTTCACGCTCAAGAAATTATAGCACCTTTTTTTGTTCACTTATGATAGGATAGGAGCATGTATAATTACTTTAATTTTCGTTTATCTTGGATTTTTGAAAGCAAAGCATAAAAGAAATTATAATTTGAACAATTTGCAAGAAGTACAATACAAACTTGTGTTTCATATTGCTGCCGACAATTGTTGCAAAGACTATTTACTTATTTCTTTATTTTTTTCTTGCATATGACAAGGTTTGAAACTACTAGATAAAGAGGATCCAATTTCTCATACTTGAGCTAATGATGATCGACCAAAAACTATTTATTACTTGCTACCATATTATTTTTTTTGCATTCTAGTTAATTTTGAAAGCCGAAAAATAAGAGTTATTCGAGAAACAGTAATGCTAGACACATTGGATTGACTACATTATGTTATGTACAGTACAGTTTATGTATACATGACACCACATGTGATTTAGGTTTTTTTTAATATTTATTTTAAATCAAAGAATAAAGAAACCTAATTAGCTCGTATCCGGCCCTATTAATTGAATTCAATTAAAATAATAAAACTTAAATTATATGTGATCATATTAATTGAGATTCCCACATCAGCCGCCACACATAATGTTGTCAATTTAGTGTGTTCTAGGATGCATGATAATAAATATAAAATGGTAGGAAAATGAGATGGTGAGAAATTCAACTTTGCGCGTGACCATGACTAGAAAACGTCCAAACAACAGCTATACCAATATAAAAGGACAAGAGAATTGGAAAAAGGTGTCTTTGTTGTCTCTCCAAGTGAAGCCAATGAAGCAATTAAAACAAACGCCCCACCTTACAAACTCAAACGTCCACCATGTGCACAGCTATCTATAGAGTTTTCTGGGTCTTTCACTCTCCACAAATTTCTCAATTTCTCTGTCAATAAATTATGGGGAAAATGTTGCATGGCTTTGGCTTAGTTGCTTATGCTCTTCTTCTAGTTCTATGCCTTCATGAAGACCAATTACATTGCTATGCAAAACTACTTGCGACCAGCTGTGACTTGTTTCATGGGAGTTGGGTTCTTGATAAAAGCTATCCACTCTACGACACCTCCAGCTGCCCTTTCATTGAGAAAGAGTTTGACTGCCAAAACAATGGACGGACAGACGATCGGTATCTCAAATATAGATGGAAGCCTGACGCTTGTGCATTGCCAAGGTAATAATTCATGTGACTTTTTCTCTCTCTAGCTACTTTTCTTCTCATATAGTGGCAAAGTTTGCCTGCTTTGTTGGAAAAACATGCTTATATATCCATGTCCGAGATTTAAATCATCTAGTTGAAGACTGAAATGAAATGATTTCTGAAACGTTGTTCATTAATTATATGCCTCTATTTGGATATGAAGGAATTGAAAATTGCATATAATTCTAATTAAAATGACGGAATTTAAATCTCCATCGTTTAGATTTCTGACAATTAATAATTTCAGTATTTTTATTTATGTATGTTGAATTTTGTAAATAACACAAAGACGAGTATTTGTATAAGGGGTAATGTTCTCTTATCACAATGACCTCCCTTTAAAATTGAAACATTATTTTGCCTAATTAATAGTTTGAATTAACAGTCTGACAACATATGTCTGACAATTATGGAAATATTTTTGCTCACCACTTTAACCTAAGATGTATCATCACCACCCTTTTTAATATTTGACATATATCCATATGCATAACCATAGTTAACTTTTACTTTGTATTTATTGAACCATGGTAATGCATATGGACACGTGTTAAGTATTGAGAAGGATGATGAAGATACACCTTGAGTTAAAGTAGTGAGCAAAAATATTCTCGACAAATATAACATTTTCTAGTATATAATTAAGTAGGTTGTCGTTGACTTTTATATTCAGCAGCTAGCAAGCATCGGAGACAAATAATTGATTCAGAAAGTAAGCTTGTACACACATATACGAGTTTAGAAACATACACTATGCGGCACAAATACAAATATCTAATAATAATGTCATGCACCGACACATTACACACTTCAGACAAATGCATATACAGATATCATTTTGCAATATATGCATATAGAGGCTTTTATATAGTAAAGATGTCCTTATTTTCCTGATCAGGAAATCAATGATCGAACCTGATCACTTTTTTTATTCTCTTACAAATTAAAGATTATCCAACTTTTTCATTTCTGTTTTATTTAATGATTGTTTTTTTAAACACATTTTAGATTACTAAAAGACTTCGAATTTGGATGATTTTTGGCATGAATAATCTAAAATATAGACGGTGTCGATCGTTAAAATATATTGTTATGTAATCCTAAGAAGGATGTGTACACTTTTCTTGCAATAAGACATCCTTAACATAGAAAAACTCTATATGTGGTGCAGATTCAATGGTCGGGACCTGTTGAAGAGGTTAAAGGGGAAGAAGATACTATTCGTAGGGGACTCTCTAAGCCTCAACCAATGGCAATCACTAACATGCATGTTGCATGCTGCAGTGCCCCAAACCAACTATGCCCTAACAAGGAAAGCCGACATCTCTGCGTTTTCTTGGCCCGTGAGTTTTTCTGATAATCATTATAAATAATGCTACTCTTACTACATTTGTATATTACATTCCCATATCATCTTATGTGGCAGATGACGTGTACATCCACATCAAATAAAATTAATTTAATATTTCTTATATTTTATGATTTATTGACACTTTTTAATGATGTGACTGTCAACTTCATCTGCCACATAAGGTGGTATGAGAATGTGGTATACAAATGTGGTAAGAATAGCATTACGTAATTATAATTAGTTAGAGACATTTCACCAACGATGAGTCCCACTTTCTAACAAAATGTGGATGATTAGTCTTATTAATTAGTATATGAGGACAAATTATATACTCTTTCGGATGACCGTGAGTTTCCATAGGGAGAACATGTTCATCTTGAAATTAACCTTAAATTATTAGGTGTAGGGCCCAGTGAATATATAATCTTATTATTAGGCACACTTTGGATTTTGTAGGATTATGATGTTTCAATTAGGTTATCTCGCAATGCATTTCTGGTGGACCTAGTGGATACAAAGGAAGGCAGGGTTCTAAAGCTGGACTCTATTGAAAACGGCAAAACATGGAAAGGATACGACGTGCTTATCTTCAATACTTGGCATTGGTGGCTCCACAAAGGAAGCAAACAACCGTACGTGAAACATAAACCACATACAAAACACAATTATTTGCACTGCAATACGCAATTATATATTCCTTAAGAAATAAAAATTATTATTATAATACAGACATGGTTTAGCTAAGTTGGCTAGAGCGGATGTGCTACTCATTTTGCACCCGAGTTCAAATCCCCCACTTTATAATTTAGATGGGTTTAAAGTAAACTATCACTTGTATAATATATATATAATTAGTAATTAGAAGCCTTAATTTGCATGCATTAATTAATTATGTTGTCTTATGAGAGTTTCAGATGGGACTACATAGAAGCAGGAGGTAAGATAGTGAAGGATATGGACCGTTTGGATGCTTTTAGAGAGGGATTAACTACTTGGTCCAAGTGGGTGGACTCTAATGTTGATGCTGCCAACACCAAAGTTTTCTTTCAAGGCATTTCTCCAACTCATTACATGTACGATTTCCTCTTTTAACCCTCAAATTAACCTTAGTCTTATTCAAATTCTTTGTCATTTCACCATATAGGATATGGAAAATTTTCATTTGACTTATTGCAATTTTACAAGTTCGAGTTGAACTTTTCAATAACTATATTATATATACAATCTAAGAGAACTCGGTTCTTTGCAAATCGAAAAGGGTAAAGTATATCAATTATGTCCTTATTAAGTTTAACTTTTTAGTATAAGTAATAGTCTAAACTACAGGGAGGGGGTTTCTCTCACACACACAAATGATGTCATGGGGGTTCGAACCTGAGACCTCTAGTCTGCGAGTGAAGACCCTTTTTCACTAGGCTAGACCCTATTAGCCCTTATTAAGTGTAATATTTATAAAAATATGGTTAACTTAGTAATTTAATCACACATTTTTCTTCTTCTCTAACTTCCATCTATTATTTAAACTAGTCATATATTTAATCAAATATAGTGTAAGCTTTTATCAATTTAATTACATAGCAAAATTGCCAACGAGGTCTAGCCTAGGAAAAAATGGTATTGATTTGCTATTGCACCTTAATAGTGTGTGAGAAACCAAATTATTGCACCTATCATATCATGCATACACATGTTATATATTCTTACTATTATTCTCCCTAAATCCGGAAATATTTAATTAACAAATATTATTTTGCGAATATATTGTTACTGGTGGAGGAGCAGAGGAAAAGAATGGGACGAGTCAGAGTCAGCAACTTGCAAAGGACAAAATCAACCTGTAAGTGGTTCAAAATACCCAGGAGGATCACCAGCAGCAGCAACTGTGGTCAACCAAGTGTTGACTGCCATGTCATCCCCAGTAACTTTGCTGGACATAACATTGCTATCGGAACTGAGGAAAGATGGGCACCCATCTGCATACGGTTTGGGTGGAGATAAAGGAAACGATTGCAGTCACTGGTGCCTTGCTGGTGTCCCTGACACCTGGAATGAACTTTTTTATGCAAGTCTTGTGGCTACTGGCTGAGAATTATTTAGAATGGGAAACAAATACATAAATGTATAAATTACTTGGCTACAATACAAATGAAGTGGGTGGTAGCCTCTATTCTATCTCGTTTATTTCAAACTAATTAATTCATCTAAAAGAACAATTCAACTTTGTTTCTTTATTTCAAGGTTTTGGAATTTCTCTTTTTCTGATTTTGAAAATTTTGGGTCACATCAAAGGGAGAAGATACCTGTTTTATGTGATCATAATTTTAGCATTGATTAGTATCTAGAACATAAATCAACAAACTTAGTGTATTTGGTGAAGCTTGTTTCTAGCGCATATTCATTGGTACAAAGCCCAAGTTCGATTCTCAGTGATGTCATTCTAAAGATCCAACTAAACTAACAGTATATATCACACCCAAACCCGAAAAAAAAAGTACTTTCTTCCACTCAAAACAAAACCAAAAAAAGGCTCCAGTTGAAGTTTAGGGTTTAAGTTTTGCACAAGACCCTTAAAATCTCAGGACTAGCCTTGAAAATAACGGGTACAAAATTGATAGATCTTTAATAAGCCAATGCCCCAGGGTTAGATGTCAAGAACCACACTACTCACTCACTCACTGACTCACACATTTATATCCCTCTCACTCTCACTTGGTGTGGAATACTTGATTATATTCTTGAGGTGGATCACCTCACTTTTCAAATGAAATCAAATGATGAGAATAATGCTCCTTATATATAGGCATGGCAATGGTTAATTTGGGTGGCTTAATTAATCGTCACTTATTATCACTTGACATTGAAATTTGTAAATACAATACAAATGAATAAATGTTGTATTCTGGTAGGTGGTTGCAATAAGAAGGCATAAATACCTTGATGATTTTATCCTTTTAATTCCAGTTTTGTTTTTTATAATTTCACATGTTGTTTGTGAACTATAATGATGTTACAACTTTCTATATACAGTTGTATAGTAATCTCTCCATCCCATTGCTCTACCTTTTTATCTCTTCTTCCAAATTCCAATGTTTAAAATTGAAGGGTCTACTAGAATATTTTAAAAATTATATTTAAAGTGTACGGCCGCGCGGCTATACTCTTCGAATATATTCGAATATTTTAGGAGTATAGCCGGGCGGCTGTACTCCTTAAAATATTATATTTAAACAGTATAGCCGAACGGCTATACTCATATCCGAATATTTTAATAGTATCGCCGTGCGGCTCTACGCTTAAAATATTACATTTAAAACGTATAACCGCGCGGCTGTACGCTTAAAATATTATATTTGAATATATTTGAATATTTTACAAGTATGGCCGCTAGGCTGTACGCTTAAAATATTTTCTTTAAAATGTATAGCCGCGCGGCTATACGCTTCGAATATATTTGACTAGCCTGTGAGAATAATTGCTACAACTAGATACTCTACAATGCAATGCTTCTCAGATATCATAGCTCATCCTTTGGCGGCAGTTCGACTTCAAGGCACTCTTCATGCAAGAACCAGTAGTAGTGTAATAAATATGAACCTGAAACGAAGGAAAGAACTTAGAAGCATCATTCAAACAAAATGAAAAAGTAAAAAATAAAACGTAGAAGTGTAATAAAATTGAACCATCCTTAGCAATCCAAAAAAGAAGAAATAAATAATGAAAGAATGTGTCTGCATATCGTGGTATTATATAGATAAATGAATGATTCAATAATATGAAAGTGCAGTTGAAGTTGGGTTTTAGAAAAAAACTCTTAATCAAATTGAAAGGTCTACTAGAATATTTAAAAAATTCTATTTAAAGGGTATAGCCGACCGGCTATACTCGTCGAATATATTCGAATATTTTGAAGTTATAGCAGAACGGCTGTACTCTGAAAATATTATATTTAAGTTTTCGAATATTTTAAACGTATAGCCGCTCGGCTGTACTCTGAAAATACTATATTTAAAGGGTATAGCCGACCGGCTATACGCTGTGAATATATTCGAATATTTTAAACATATAGCCGCGGCGGTACTCTGAAAATACTATATTTAAAGGGTATAGCCGGCTATACTCTTTGAATATATTCGAATATTTTAAAAGTATAGCGGCGCGGCTATACGCTTTAAATATATATGATTTTAAAGTGCAGCCAGCTTTCTTCTGTTTCTATTCGAATTGGGAGTTTCTGAGGAAATTCGAAGTCTTTGGGAAATGGGCTTTCGTGATTTTGATGTTAATCGAAAACCCATTAATTGATGGGATTTTGACTTTGAATTGATTAGATTGGTTCTAAGGGCCTCTCATGGGGAGATTTCTTGGCTGGTTTGTGTTGCCTCTGCCGCTGCTAACAGGTATTTAAATGAAAATCCCTTTTGTTAATTTGTTTTAATAACCATGTTATTGTAGTAACAGGTTATTTCAATTTGTTTTAATAAATTTTGTTAATTGCAACTCAAAAATTTAGCATGCATTTGGATTGGGGTGCTGATTTCCTTGTTGGGTTTTCTTCAGTTATGTTTTTATGGTAATTTAGATCAGCTAAGCTTGTATATTGTCTCTATTGCATATACAGTCTCATACTGTCTCCATCATCATCAACCATAATGGGTAGTCTGAATTATCATTTAATATGGTTATGGAGAAATTCTGGACGCAGAAAACTTACTTATAGATACTGACAATCCATGCGTGCTTAGTAACTGAGGTAAATGTGATAGTATGATTCTGCATTAGTTTTTCTTTTGTTTTCATTGTCAAAAATGCTAAGTGCATGCTATATGGATGATGCCAGTCCAACTTTCCATTGCAATGTTCCTTCTGTATAACAGCCTTGGTGCAGCAGTGATCACATCTGTAGTAGGAATCATGTGTGTTCTTGTGTTTGTTGTGCTGGGCACAAGACGGAACAACAGGTTCCAATCTAATGTGATGAAGTGTCGGGATTCAAGAATGAAGGAAACAAATGAGATGCTTAACTACATACGTGTGATCAAATTCCAGGCCTGGGAGGAGCACTTTAACAAGAGAATTCAGGCTTTTCGAGAGTCGGAATTTAGCTGGCTGACCAAGTTCATGTACTCAATCTCTGCCAATGTTGTGGTTATGCGGTACACCCCAGTACTTATATCAACTCTCACATTTGGCACTGCACTCTTATTGGGTGTCCGGCTTGATGCCGGGACATTGTTCACAACCACAAGCATTTTCAACTTTTTGCGTCCGGACCTTCCCACAATCTATGATTTCAATTTCTCAAGCTATGATATTTCTTGGGAGGTTGGACCATTATATGATGAGTAGGGAATTGGTGGAGGATGCGGTGGAGAGAGACAAGGGCTGTGATAGTAGAACTGCTGTGGAGGTTAAAAATGGTGTGTTTAGCTGCGATGATGAAAGCAAAGAAGAGGATTTGAATGTCAATGAAGGGGAGCTAACGGCTATTGTAGGGACAGTGGGATCTGGAAAGTCTTCCCTTCTAGCCTCAATTCTTGGTGAGATGCACAAGTTATCCGGAAAGGTATGATTTGATACCATTAAACCCTTTTCTAGATGTCTCTTATGACATAAAATCCCTCCACTGAACCATAAGTTTATAACCAGGTCATAACTCACTCAAAAAGCTTCAGTTTAATCAAGTACTTGTTGAATTAATAAACTTTTTGAATAACAGGTACGAGTTTGTGGAACAACTGCCTTTGTTGCTCAAACATCATGGATTCAAAATGGGACTACTGAAGAAAGTATATTATTTGGTTTGCCAATGGACAGAGATAGATACCAGGAAGTTATCAGGGTTTGCTGCTTGGAGAAGGACTTGGAAATGATGAAGTTTGGAGATCAAACTGAGATAGGAGAGCGTGGCATCAACCTAAGTGGTGGCCAGAAACAGAGGATACAACTTGCTAGGGCTGTATATCAAAATTGTGACATATATCTTCTCGATGACGTTTTCAGCGCTGTTGATGCTCATACTGGATCAGAAATATGTAAGGTGACATTGCATTAGATTTTCTACTACATTTGATAGTAAATAAATGATTTACTTTTGATTCCACAGTGATTGAACATTCAAGCTTGTTCTTAAGATAGTTGTTTGAACACTTTTTTACTTTCATAGTCTAAATGTGCTAAGATAGTATAAAAATAGTACAAAGTGACACTCATTGAATTTGATTTGTATGCATAATGTTCTACTGATCATGATTTATACTTCTCTGCAGGAATGTGTGAGGGGAGTGCTTAAAAACAAGACGGTTTTAGTTGTAACTCATCAAGTTGACTTCTAGCATAATGTTGATCTTATTTTGGTAAGATTATAATTGCAGTTTGCACATGTATCCCTCCTAGTTATATATTTATTTGAACTTATTACCTCCTAATAATATCCGGTCATGAGAGATGGGATGATGGTACAGGCTGGAAAGTATAATGATTTGCTAAATTGTGGCCTGGATTTCAAAGAGCTAGTAGCTGCCCATGAAACCTCCATGGAACTTGTAGAAATGAGCACCACTATTCCCAGCAAAAGTTCCCCCAGTCCTCAAATATCTCCTTAACTCTCTTCGAACCACCGGGAAGCCAATGGTGGAAACAACTCTTTGGACCAACCAAAGTCTGATAATAGGACTTCTAAACTCATCAAAGAAGAGGAGAAAGAAACAGGCAAAGTGAGCTTGCACGTTTACAAAGTTCGTGAGTTAGAATTGCTCACCTTTTCTTTTTCTGTTTAAGCATTAGTTTTTGTCATAGTTGATGAGAGATCCTATTCTCTGTTTAATCTAAATTGTATACGTTGTCTTCTTTGCTAACTGATGAGAATTTTTCACCCGCCAGGCATCAAACTGATCAGACGAATATCGATCAATTTCTTCCCTTCCTTTTGGGTATGACCATTGCCATTTACATCACTGTGCTTGCCATCTTTATCGTTGTATTCCAAAATTCGTGGCCAACCGTATTCTTGCTGATTCCACTTATTTGATTTAATATCTGGTACCGGGTATGTCATTCTTTTTATCATGCTGTTGATATTTATCAGTGTAAGAACTATAATGTTGCAATGAATGTGTTCTTCTTGTTTAACAAATGTGTGTTAGATAGGAAAATAAAATATTTAGTTCTATGATCTTTGTCATGAATACCATTGGTCAATCCAACTCTTGTTATACAGATAATA